CTCTAATTAAAGACAGACAAGTGTAAATATCACACACATTAACCACATGTCCCATTATGACATGTATGAACAACGACTCTGTGTAACTTTTTCTACAATTGGAGGCATGACGTCACTAACTTAACACATGTTGATTAGTTTACTCGAGAGCAGCGTATTCTCCTCAATTATTCATTAAAAAAATTATACCGCATTACGCAGCTTGTAGTTGACAACGCCGCAAAAATGTCGTTATCGCACTTAAATTGTTTGTTTTTTTGGTGCGGGTACTTCCTAAAATCTTTTTGAACGACGGTTCCGGGACCAACCATCGGTGGCAACCTTCAAACTTAAAATAACTAATAATCATTTCCTATAATCACGTTGAACGGCGTCATGTTCAAGTTAGCCTTGGAAGTGCTGACCATAAAACTATCGCAGTATGCCGTGGAACTACTACCTGTAGCTATAAACTACGACCACGTGATTGGAATTATTTTGACTTTTGTTGAAGAATCGAATAAACCGGTCATTCTTTGATATTAATAGCGTTTTATCAATAAGTACAGATAAACTGATAACGACAACGTTGTTTTTAAGGTGTACACATTTTTCCAGATTTATGGAGCTATAAGTAAAATAAGCATGCGTCGCACTTCGTGGAGAAGTCACGTATAATACGATTTAATTGACTTTCGAAGAACTGAGCACGCATAACCTATTCAAATAAACGACTAGCTGTAAAAATGTTTTATTTCTTTTTTAATTTTATGTGGACGAAATCATTCGTGGTCCACTGCACTACGTTTGTCCCAGTTTAACGTCGATTTTTTCGTTTATTTCTATGTAAATAAAAAATAAACACTGAATAGTCCGGCGTTTATTAAGAGATAACGTAATTAAATGAATTGCGTAATTGTTTTTTTCGCCTCATAAAAGCTTTTATATATGAGGTTATGTTTTGTTGAAAGCACGAATTCGTGTTGGTACATTAATGGATTTAGCTGGTTAATTGCTTGATTAGCCTGCACTCCTGCTGTACCAATATTGAGATTTTGTACGTCAAAACTATAAATTAATTTTAGTACAACATTGAAAGCTTCCTCTTTTAAATTAACGAATGAAAACAAAGAATTTACATTCGGATGATGTCTTGCGACGTCACAATGAACCTTACAGCTGTTTACTTTCATGAATCACTTCCGAATCACAACGGAATCCGTTTTAAAATTATGAAATGTCAACACCACCGTCATTTAGCGAAAATTAAACCGGAATTCTAATGTAAAACCCTGGTAAATCAAGGAACTTCTACGTTTGAATTTTCCACAACATTCGACAAAGCGTTTTTTATGGTCGGGTTTGTTTCTATAAATAAAAATGAGCGGTGGGTTTTTCGCGAGACTTTTCTCATACCTGTACTTTTTACAAAAAATCCGAGATAGTCAAAAATTTTTAAATCCGGTATAATTTTTCGTTCATAAGATCGAAATTTTCCACAAAAAAAGTAAGGCTGCATATTCGAAATAAAAAAAAAACATAAAAATTGAGTCAACGCAGTACTCTTGCGCGCTTTGGATATTTCCCTTTTTCAATATTTTGACAAAAAAGGTTGTTTTGGTGTGTTTTAAGAGAATTTAGTTGAAGACATACCTAAGTTAAAAAATAAGTTCGTCATATGAAAGAAGGTATTGATTTTTGCAGTCGTGAATATTCTTGGTATCAGAAATGGGTAATTACATATTTATCACTTTCTGCGACAATGTATGTTTTTTGTTCCAGTTTGCGTTTTAAGCAATTAAAAGTGGGGGAAAATTTAAATAAATTCAAATATGCAATTCAAATTTGTTTTGATAATAATTATTTATAGTCATTCTGTATCGGTGTAAAAATTGGCAAAAGTTAGGTACGTTTTATGATTTATGTGTGATTGGTGATAGGACATTTATCTCAAATGTATCATCACTAAGTAGACAAATACAGATGTGTGATCCCAATTTCCACACGTCAACCCAATTAATACTTATGAAACTTATTTTTTTTATTTTAGTGACCGACTGAATCTATAGATAACAGCTAAATAACAGAAGAGTGTTAATTTTATAATAGTACAGCGTTATTCAGGCTAATTAGAATTTCATTTATCGAAAAAAGTAATTGGAATTATAAAATTTATTTTGTAAAATTTTATTTATTTTATGATAATCTCTATAAGTAAAAAATATGTTTAGATAACATAAGTGGTATTCGAAGGCAAACGAGGGATATTTTCGAAAAGTTCTTCAGTAAAAATACGCATGTAAAAAATCAAACTTAATAGAAATATGTTAGTTTTTTTTTGTGGTATAAATGGGTTTTCATTTGTACTTATATACACTGAGTCATGGGACGTACACGATCATTTTCATTTTTACTCATACATATAAACGGTGAGTGTAATTCGATCTATCTGTTAGCAAAGTGAGGCATAAAATTTATTAACAACCGAGAAACGATTCATTCAGAGCTTGAATAGACCAAGAAACACCTGGAGAATCTACTCAGAAGGGTAGAGAAGAAAAAGTTGAGCACGAATCAATCGATGAAAAAGTTTAAAAAGTTAAGTTCGAATGTGAAATTTTGTTGTTAAACTAAGGTTTTCGATTTTAACCTCGAAAACCCCATTGACACGGTTTAACCCCAAACCTGTAAACTTTGAACTTGTTGTCCGCTATTTTGGATGCCATTTTGAATTTTTGAAACTGGTATCAGATACGAAATCAGCGACCTCGAAAACCCCCAAGGCGGCCATACTTCCAGATTTATTTAATTGTTTTGATTTTTGGCCAACAAGAATCGCCTTTGATCCCAATGTCACATATCTGTGACAAACTCATTAATAATCAAAACTGAGTATTGATGAAAATGTTAAAATTAACAGTGACCCTATCAACGTAAATAAAATTTAAATTGTATCTTAATGAGAATGACTAATCAGTTTAAAAATGCTATCAGAATTTGTTCCATATGGTACACCTTATTTTTTAATGTTGATTGAAAATGATTTTGATAACACTTAATGTTTTGATGAATAAGGCATGCACGTGATCATGCAGCGTGTTTCATCCTGACACGATTAATTTACTTCCAAACTATTACGAGCATGTTCCAAGTCAAGCATAAAACGCTTTTTTTAATTAACACTGTCTGTTTCTGTTTTTATATTTTTTGTTTTTCAGTATATATGTATTTTTTTAACAATATGTTAATTACTTCGTCTTTGGTCAGTACTTAAAAAAATCAAGACTAAATTATTCTTAATGAAAATGGGATAAAATCAACAGTTTGTATATAATTTTTGTCATCTGTTAGTACTCAAATTTTGACGATTTAGGGATTTCTGAGCTCAGTGACACAAACCAACAAACGTTGTGTGTTATACATAGTCGCTACGAACCGCATTCATAAAACATACACGTCAACACGAAAACCAGTCACTGCTTGTACAATGAAAATTTCTTGGGTATTTATATGCAAGTACATATGTATATTATCATTGCAGGCATATTAACTCTACTCATTTTTAATGTATAGTTCTGTTGTATGAATTAATAATTTAGGAAAATATAAATCTATTAATAATTGCCACTTTTTGTTTTATCTTTGTAAAATAAATCACTGCTGTCAAGTGAAAGTAATGTGGAAAAACATAATAATGGCATACTTAGTTTCACATACGACAGAAAAATTTGTTTGACGTGGAATAAAAAGATCAATTCGCCGTCAACGAAATGTAAGATTGATGGTTTGCAGTAGCAGCAATTTTCTTAACAATCTGTTTAAAAAGTAGCAGTCGTGACAAAACAGGATCTTTGCATACATTGTTGTATCTCTTTGATATTCATTTTTCCTTTGTCACTTTAAATATGTACCATTGTAATTAATGGTATCTTATGAACCAACTTTAGTCATGTGGGCAAACACAAGTCGCAGTGGCAAGAATTCCAATACTCGGAATCGTAACCGATAACTTGTTCTTATTCGTTTATATGTATAAATATATCGTTTCCGACACATTAATTAAACAAGTATCTCAAAATTTAAGGTCAGAAGTGTTACGCAGACATGAAGTAACAACAAGAAATGTGACTAGTGTTAATAAATTGTAAACATAATTTTAGTAAAAACGAAAAGATAGGATGGAATTCATTAACTTTATCGGCAGCTGCGTCAGGACTTGTATATCAGTTTAATTACCTTTAGTATTGATTAGTTATAAATAACCGATAAAATTATACTTTCCAATCAAAAATTTTGCTGCCTGCAGTTAACAAGTCGCCAGCTTCAATAATTTTGTACCAGCACTAATAAATCCATAAAATTTGAAATAAATTTAGTAATAAAATTTCTCGTGTTGCTCATCCTTTTCAAAGATGACTCCACACAAAAACGAGGTTCTAATCTAATTTAGCAGAACGTGACGGAAAAGCAAATTAGTCCAACTGTGCCTATGCCGCAGGAAAAAACATGTAAGAAAACAGGGCGAATTTATGCCGCAGTAACTCAATCCCGAGAGGAAGAAATAAAATTTACGACCTTCTTCCATTAGTGCCCTAAAATCCCATCTATTCAACAGGTCAGTCTGGTGCCCAGATGTCCGCGACCGAAGAAAGAAAGCCCCGAGAAACCGAATGCAATTACTTCAATTAAAGTGAAAGTGAACAATATAGGAAGATGAGCTAGCGCTCGGTGAATTGACCATTTAATTTCGAAAGAACTGTACTTAGCAGCGAGTCCGATAAGATTCACTTTCTTCGGTTCAAAACCAAACACTACAAATGATAATGTGGTCGCGCGTAAGAGCGAGAATCGCCTACACCCGCCGTTTTGTTCTCGTTAAGTCGAGTACGGTTTTTCGGGAGGTAGTGGGGCGATTCTCGACTTAAGACACATTGACGAGTGACGTCACTCGAGGATTGGCTTCCTCCCCACTCCTCCGAACGCTGTAGTGGGAGTTCTCTACTACTTTGGCAGGGAGAGAATTGCCACAAAATTCAGTCACCACGAGACCTATCCGAAGAGTGAACACGCGATCGCTGCGTGCGGAATAGCGCGAAATACGTCACTATTTATTGGTTTTATTGTTGCGAGTCTTCCAGTTTTGCAGGATCGCAGTGTTTTTGTATTATAGTGTTCTAGTGCTAAATCAGGAATATGTCTACCGCAATAATGTCACGTTACGATTTCGGGGATAATTTGATGAAGGTGAGGCTCTGCTCTTTACTATAAAAAATAAAAACAAAAAACTTCGTAACTTTCCTGCTTGACCAGTGCTCGACCGTCCTCTCCTACCTGCTCGTTGCAATCGCTTCACTTCTTGTGGCAGGTAGACGGGTCAGGTCGGTTTTAGCTGGCATTCAAGGACTACAGGCAAAACCGGCTATTCGAACGTTTCCACAAATGTTTATTATGATTCCTTCTGGGTACTGTTAAAAAGTTATCGCGTTATGGGCGACTTTTTACGCATGTTTTTAAGAAACCGAACCGTAGAAAGTGCGCATGGGGAAAATCGCGCCGCACAGTGGCGGAACCGGGGGTTGGGCGTTGCAAATTCACACACGTTTGCCGTTAAATATGACTCAAATCAAAAGAATCGGATTTATTCATCCAGTTGGCTGAATTGCAAGAATTATAATTATTCAATAACGTTAAAGTTTCTAATTCAGATTCAGGTTTCGCAAAAAGCGTGGGAAGTAAATTTTCTGGTATTGTTGGCGGCTTTTTTGTTTTTTTGGTGTGCACCCACCGAAGGATATTTGTTTTTTGAATTCAAGTAAATCGGCATCGCCACCACGTGTTGCAAGGATAACACGTCATACATTTCGCAAAACACAAAAAAACTCGAATTTCTTTTTCCTAGTTCTGAGTAACGTGTCTCGACACCACGTGTTGGAAAGATACACGTCATCCGGACGATAGATTTCACAAAATAAAAAAAAGTCAACCAACCTAGTGTTTGTGTGTAAATTAGTTTCAGAAAACCGCGTTATTAAATGGCTCTTAAATTATATCGTGAAATGTTGGGTTAGGTACATTCAAAATGAGTTCTAAATGTTATTCGGTAGCCGAGTTTACAAGGTTGCCCAATATACTTACATAATTTACGATCTTTCACAAAATTAGAAGCATTTGATTTTTTTGGTGTTGACTTTTTCCTCGTTAATTTGGAACAGTTGCAGCAAATCTTCGAAAGAAATTGAGAACAGCACTTTTAGTTGGAACAAAATTTGCTCTACATTTAATTGTCAAATACCACTTCATATTATAACGTTTTATAGCGGAGACATTCATATGATATATTACATTCATTTCTTCACAATTACCATTAGTAATAAATCTTTTAAATATGTAATAGTTTTTCGGTGCTGATTTATTAAATTGACCTTCACTAAACAATAAACTCAATATGACACATCGCTATAAAAGTCATTAGTAGTTATTCGTATGTTTAGGACAGTGCAAATTGAACATTTTTAGACATTCGCTACTCACTATTCCGTGTTTAAATAGTGAAATCTTGCTAAACCTCGCAAAAATGCAGCCAGCCAACACAAAAATAACTTCTTTAATTGTATGACGAATCAAAATTTTTATTATAATCGTGGCTAAATGTGCGCCAAATTGTACAATTAATGAGTCAATTGTTGAAAATAATATCCCAAATCGCGAAAATGCTGTTGGTCACTGTAATTGTTACACATTCTCGAATTAATCACAGTTAATTGTTCGGAGAGATTTATTGCGTGACCCTGCGCTTGGTTACGCCACTGGCGCCCGCCTCTTGTAAAAATCGAAAACGTTCGTTGTTTTGGTGGCGCGAGAAAAGAGAAATGCTTCTTGACTCCCACTGGTCGTAGCTTTCACACACATGCACCGCGTTTGTCACTGCGAGAAAGTAGGCTTGTAGAACGAACTTTTACCGATTGTGTCTTAAGAGATGAAAGTGTGGATGCCTAAAATCAACCCCCTGTTCGCAAGAATGGTGGTCACAACACCGGCCAGCCCGTTTCGGGACGAACACGTGGTTTTAAAATTCGCCTTTGTTAGAAAACTGGTCGTGTTGTCCGCAACGCTGCTTTTTTTTGTAACTTTTAATTTGGTGTTCCCACCAGTGTTCCGCTGAATAAGTTCGGTTCAATATGCGTTTCGTGATAAAAATTAATGTGTATTAAAATATAAATGTGATTCAGGATAAGCAGTGGCGTTGCGGACAATGTGATAAGTTTTTGGCATATTCTTAATGCTGCAAAAAATTACATACCTATCACTTAATGATTTGGCATTTTGCCTACAACTTGCCAAGCTAGACCGCATTCCTGTACCAGTTATTGTTTCTCTTACTCTGTCGACTCGGTCCTGAATGAAAGTTACATTTTTTTTTGTTTTAATAAAGTTTGTAGATTTCCCCCGATAATTGAGAAGTGGAATCCGTTTATTTTATTTGTAACGTGGTTTTAGTTTCTCCAGGTAGACTTGAAGGTGTTTTATTTTTTAAGCTCGTAAAGCGAACACTAAATTTGTAAAGAAATAAATCACAGGCATAACAAACAGTACAGAAAGTGTAAATTTAAATGTAAATTGAGTAAATGAGTAATATAACAAAACATTTGCGTGTTTTAATTGCGCTGTATAGTGTACAAAAATAATAAAATTGACGGTTGTAATTTCAACTCTGGTGGGCGTACAAATTTTTCCACTGTTAAAATATCATGTAAATCAAATATATAACTATCCAAAATTTCCAGCAATGGAACTAAAAATATATTTATTTAATCTTTTAACAATAGGCTAATTTAGATTTTTCACGTACAATGTAAATGTTTAGACCGACTGTATAATCGGTCGATGGATCCATTGCTGCTGATTTTATTTATTATCGGTCGATGTAAATCGTTTCCGAGAGAAAATTTTGCGAAATTTTAAATCAATTTTTTGATGGATTAAAATTTCTTTTAGTCAATATCACAAACCCGGTATGGCTGGTTTAGTATTACAATCATGGTTAGATTACAAATATACACAATTTTGTATCCTACTAATTATAAACAAAAAATAAGTCATTTCATAATAATCCTATTTTCGTTTGTTATTGATTTTTTAGAATTTTGTTGATTTTATTTATCATTTCTGTTAAAAGCAAAGCAGATTTTATTTTGAATACCAACGGCAGATTTTACAATGTAAAACAATTGGAGTTGGCCTTTTAAATTAAAAAAAGAAGCTCCTCTTAAATGTTTCTGTTGTTATTTGTTTTAATTCATTGTTTACTGTTTTAAAAAACGTGAACACCGTAGCACCCCTTATTTAAAATTGACGCTAATAAAGCCTTGCCAGCTTTGTAACATTTAACGAAAATTGAAGCTATAAGATATTATACTAAAGAATTTTGTAGAGATAGTAACAGTTAAACAGTGAGTGAACTACGTTTATTGGCTTCGGCAATGTTTAAAAAATAAACAATTCAAAAGAGCATATATATTATCAACGAGAAACTGTGAATGAAGAATGTTATTTTTGAAGTGATCATTATTATTTCAGTGATTATGCAAAAATAAAACAGTTAACTGTTGTTTATTTTCTATTCCAGTGAAAACAAAAAACAAATTGCGAGAAAACTAAAGTAAAAACAAAATAAACATACATGTACTTGCAAAAAGTATAAACATGTACGTATGCATATCAACAATTTAAATCTTGAGATTTTCTAAATTGTGTTTAACTATGTGTTGGTTGAGAAGTTTCTATAATTCTGATTCAGGAATATCTTTAATAAATTTAAATTTTAAACTTTCGCTTCTCGAGCTTCATAGTAATTCAAAACTACTTTTAAAAGAATGTTATTTGTTAGTTTATGTTAAAGAAATGTAGCTGTAATATGATAACTTGTGAATTTATTTTAGTGTTCAATTTCTTCTAATTTTGTTGCAAAAAATGTTCCATTAGGAGGAGAGTAACATTTTGACCGCAAATGTAAAACTTTAAACGGGTTAATGTATTGAATCGGTTTTTAAATTAAATTTTTTCTACCGTTGCAATTATTTGAAATAGAAAGAAAATACACGTGGAATTCCAATCGAAATGTATTGTTAATTGTTGGTAGTGCGGAGAAGTTTAGTTGCACCTCTTAAGTCGGAAGTGCCAACGCACCAGTTACGGAAAATTCGAGTTAATTAGTGTAATAATTAATTAATCATATATATTTATACACATACCTAAAATATAAAAACAATATATTTTGTGTACAACTAGAAAATGGGTCAATCGTTACCTACATATTTTAATGCTAAAGATATATGAGCATAACTTTTATGTCTTTTCAAAATAATCTAATAATTACTTAGCTGCTTTTTGCTTTTAGGTGACACAGCGAAAATCTTTAGTAATATTCCTTTTCATTGTTGGATTAAACTGAAATTAACGTACAAAATTCAATGTATTTTTGGTGGTTTTAGAGATTCCATATTTGACATAAAATTTGACTTAACAGTTATTATTGTGGCTTGTTGCTCTAACAAAATTATTCAACTAATCCAGATTTTTTATATCGAGAACTAATCGAGGTTTTCTACTTCCGAGGTTCGAGTTAGGAGGTTCGACTGTATATGTAATTTTAGACTATGAAAAGAAATGCGTGGAATTGGCAAATTAAGCCCACTAATGATTTTATTTGTAGCACAAAAATTGACGAAGAAATCTTTCCAAAGGCAGCGTTAAGACCAAATATATTGTTGGGCGCCCGAGCCCAAGGCGTTCGTGAGGTCGGCGCCTATAGCTAGCATAATTACAGAGTACAATATTTTTAATTTAGCTTCAGCGTTTTTTAATTTAAAAGTTAATGCAGGGTGGCACAAAAGTCTTTGGGGATATTTTCTACCACTGCTATTTTTTTTAACCATTTTAACGTTGTTTCAAGTTTACATTGGACCTTTAAGTTCATCGCAGTCTTGTGACTGCATATACAATTTTGTTGACCTATGCCAATCTTGTACCAGATTGTAGGCAGAGTTTCCAGTGCTCATATGTTGTTAATTCGAAGGTTTAGCGTAGGCATGACGTTGAATCGATGGAAATTTTTCATCATTAAATTACATTCATATTAAGTACAAAATGTCAAGATATTAAATTAAATTGAAGAAATACTTCTGGGTGCCACTAAAACGAGAGCTACGTTTTCTAGAAAGCTAAGTTGTTCATACGAAAACACCATTCGGTTTCACTTGGAGAATAGGCGGACGGTTGCTCAAATCGTTTTAGAAATGAAGTTGTCAGCTTCCAATTTACAAAGTTAAATTTTGTAGAGGTCAGAATGAAATTGTAAACTGGAAAATTTGTAACGGGGAAAATTTCGAATGTGTAATTCACGTTTTATATTTTAGATATCGGTTGTACTTGGGTAGTGCGTTTTCGGTGTCCCAGAACTTTTGCCCACATTTCGCACATATTTATTACATTGAGTAAATCGAAAGTTTCAAGTACATAAGATCGAAAAGAGATATCCGTAACACCCTCCCGGGCTCGGTATCCAAATTTTCCACACTCTCCTTGAAAGCGAGTCGGTTGTCTCGTTTAGTTCATATCCGGGTTTCACTTTGCATTTTTTGGTGTATGCCACGTACTAACGCGTCTTGTTGTTTTGTTGCAGACTGCAGTTCCAAACCGGGACACTGCCCCCGGCGCCCACCTGGACCTGGGATCGCCTGGGATGCGATTCACCTTGACCCGGATGGCGTCGACCCCCGCCGCCGGAGCCACGACCGCCTCCAACCTCACCCTCCTGCTGGGCAACCTGACGCAGCACCGCCGTCTCGAGCGCGCCCAGTCGGCCCCGGCGCCAGCCCAGACAGCCGCCAGCGTCGCGTCCGCCGTCAACACCTCCAGGTACAAGACCGAGCTGTGCAGGCCGTACGAGGAGTTCGGCGTGTGCAAGTACGGGGACAAGTGCCAGTTCGCCCACGGGGGCGGCGAGTTGCGAAGTCTCGCGCGCCACCCCAAGTACAAGACGGAGTTGTGCCGCACTTACCACACCGTGGGCTTCTGCCCGTACGGGCCCCGGTGCCACTTCGTGCACAACCAGGACGAGGTGGTGATGCAGAAGCAGGCGCTGGCGCGGCGACCGCGGCCGGCGGCGCTCAGCCCCACGTTGTCACTGGACTCAAGCCCGCCGTGCAGTCTCAGCCAGTCGCCGACGTCCTCCATGGGCTCGTTCTTCAGCAGCGAGCCCGAGCTCAGCTCGCCCTCGACGGACGACCGCCTGCCGGTCTTCAACAGGCTGGCGGAGGCGCCCAGGCTGCACGTCTTCAACATAAACGACATGGTGATGTAGTTGTGCGGCGTGCGCCACTCAGACTTATTAAAGTGTCTTATTTATATTAAGTAGGTCCGCCTCGGCGGCGTGATTTTGATATTGTGTGATTACTAAATATTAAAATTATATTATAGAGGCGTGTTTTATACGAATGTTGATTGTGTACGTGCAACTAGGTTAGCTTCTTCAGTCGTCGGTCTCGATTTCTGTAACATTCCGTGATCGAAGTTATTTATTATTTTATTACTACTTTCTCGTTGTGTTTTTCTTTTGATGTGTGACTTGTGACCGATGAAAGAATACGTTTTTTTGTTATTTAAATCATTATTTAATTTTATGTTTCTCATTCGACATGTTATGTTATTTTATTATTATAATTTATATGTAACTTATTTATACCTTCTTGTCGCAATATTGTATAGTGGACGACTGTGCGTCAGCACACAAAGTTGGCTGCCCCCAACTACAGAGTGTCCACCTCTGTATATTATTATTTATATTTGTATTTCTGTATCATTATCAATAAATTATATTTTGTTCTTTAACTATCTTTTATCACGCTTCACTGCAGCCTCACCCGAGGCGCCCACAGAGATTTCATCTTGGGTTGCTACTTCACCTTGCGCAACTTTCCAACACGTTTTGCACACGTTTGCTAACCGTTCAGTTATTAATTCGCGGAAATATCGACTGTGTTTACTTGTCGTAATTGCCACTATTTTTAGTACAACGACGACCAACTACAAATTGCATTCGGCCATACCTTCTAAAATGTAAATTATGCAAATTAAAAGTTTTCGACTGGTTGTACAATGATAATCTTTACGTAAGTGAATGACGAACGTTTAAGTTTGACTAATACAGGAAGTTATAGGCGATCAAACATGAATTACTGCTTCACACGTGTACAATGAACGTACAACGACACCTGCGGGTGTATACCATAACTACACTATCAAATTTGTAACACGATAGGTGACTGTAGTAATCGTATTAGTTACCTACAGAACACGGCAATGTTTGAAATTAATGAAAACATTGTAGGTTTTGTATGCATAGTAGCGCCTTCACAAGTGAGTAATGACGTTTTATCGCACTGCAAAAAAATTCACACCAATGACGCTAGTAGGAAGCCCAACTTTCAAGAGAAACTTGTTGAACCGTGTTTATAGAAGTAGGCACGTTTTTTCAATATTCCCACACTCATTACAATTACATGGTGCCACTGCTTTAGACTGATCATAAATTAGTGAAGATTTTATATTAATTTTTCTAAATATAATCGATGGTTTTTATTTTCGTCAAACACTTACCATAGAATTTCAGACCGTACATACAAACATCACTGACTGATATCACTATGCATGAAGAATTTATTGTATGCGAAGTATTTTTGTCACTTTGCCAAACCAGTGTTATAAAATTTCGTGTAAGATATTTTTTACCCTTCTGTGATCTTATTACTGCCAAATATATTTTGAAACCTTTATCAAAAAAACAAACAAGGTGTGTTTCGACTCGCAGTTGTTGTTTTTCAGAATCAGTTTTCTTGGTATTTCTCGATTACAAGGTAAGTGCTATATAAAATATAGGAAATCCCATTACGTCGCGTCCTTTGTTTTAATCTAGTGATGGCAAAAAGGACGCAATATGTGTTGTTAACGGCAAAACACAATAATTATTTACTATACTCGTATGCAGGGTTACTCCAGTTTTGATTATTTATTTACTGGATCAATAGATTCAAATATTTTTGCTTTGAGACTGGAGACAAAAGTGACGATTTCACATGATTTCATAAATTCAGTGAGTTTGACAAAGATATCGCAGACATCTCTTCAACGATGGGCACATTTTTATTAGTAGAGTAAATCGTTCGAACCATTACGGAAAAATAAAGGAAGTGGTAACGGCTTCATTACACGTACATTACAGATGACCACAGTTCCATGTATACATACACATACTACCATTTGGAGGATTGTCAAGCGGTGAATAAAACCAAGAAAAAAGTTTTGCCTATATGGCGAAGATATAACTATTTATGACACATATAACGTAGCACTTACTCTGGACAAGGCGCAAGAAACGGCTTGCTAGCAACCAACTCCGCGAAGTTTTCTAAAGCCAACTGGCCTTTCTATGAACCCAACTACTCGACGTGTTTTGTTTATGGAATCCACACGTATACGCATATGGAGTTTACGAATGTCTTAAATTTTTATATTACAATATCCACTAGGTACATTGTAAAGAAATGGATGGCAAGATACTTTCAAAAATGTTTTCGATATACTGTAGTTCGAGGGGTAATTAATTAATCAAATGCAGGATTAGACAATGATTAGGTACGGAATATTTAAGGTGACCAAAATGGATTACTGCCATGGGAAGGAACATGACACGAGGCGCAAATAATGGTTTACAAAATATGTTATGCGGCGGATTCAAATTCGCGCACAGGTAGATTTTTACGATTGCTGAGCGGCCGGTGGAGTTTGCGACCGAAGGATTAAGGATTATTTTGTTTAAAAAGTGTTTCCTGGTCGCAATTAACGACTGGACTTTCTTTAACTACCTTATTCTTATTCTTCGTCCAACGAATGCATGTGAATCGTGTTACTTTTTTTCAATTTCGTTACTTTTCTATAAATGGCTTAAAAATTGTCACATAGACATCAGTTACATCATGCAAGAGTTGTAAAAACGTTAAACTCATTTATGATAAAAAAGTTCTACAAAAATGCAGTTTACTGACAGAAAAATCTACAAAATTTAGTCAAATATAACTTCTAGGCATGAATTTGTGAAATGTGTTTCCTATCAATTCAAATATAAATAAACTTTTAAAAATCGTGCTGTTTACTTATTTTTACCTCAAAATAAGAAGCAATATCTAATTCTGTTTGGTCGTTGCATTCTTTAGCTAAACCAGGTCGATGCGCGTTTATCAGTCCTTAGGAACTGTAAGATGTAGATGTAGATAACTAACATAATCCTAATCCAATAACTACTTTTTTGGGAACGAATTTGGTACGACCCACATTACCATAGCTTTTTTTTGACAAACTTGGTTCACCTAATGGTATTATGAATTCACCGTCCACTTCCAAGAAGTCATAATAATGTAAATGTAAAATTATTTAAAAATTAACAGTGTCAACTGAATGGTATACAAATATTGTCCAAGACTACTTTACATGTTTTGTATGTCTAAAGTATAGTGTAAAATAAGTTTCGATTTTTTTTTGTCCTCCACCCAAAGTGAAGAGAGTAGTTAGAACATCTATTTAAATGCGAATTTTGCATTTCTTAATTTTTTGTCAGTTTCTCACCTTAATAAGTTGAATCTTGGCAAACATAATTAAACTTCGCAATTAAATTATTAATTAATATAGCGCGCTAAATGTCATATAACTTATTGCCTACTTATAATTTCCGTTAGTTGTTCTTCCAAAAAGCCATTGAACATTGAAATGTTCCACCAAACGGTGGAGTACCATTTTACTAGTTGTTATTTAATGACAGGAAGTGATATTCATATGGAATGTAAGATAAACTGAGAAAGTAGACGGTACCGTAATCAGAACCTTATACTGGGTGAGGTTATACTTTTTCCATATTCACGACTTTACGGTTTGTTATTTACGTGTTTAGAGGAAAATTGTCTTCGACGATTTACCCATTCCACTTTACGCAACTTTTTACTGATAAAAATTTGAAATGAAGTACAGTTACTTTTGAGGTAACATTATATTGGGACAGAGGGATGAGTTTACATTCTCTAACCTGTAACCTTTCTACTTAAGTCACTTTTAATTAATACGATTGTCTTAAATCATAATTACGACTTTTGAGATTTTTGTCTATTGCGATCTCATATGGCATATCAAGACCTTGATTTTAGTTTACAGTACAACATAATTTTTGTAGAAAGCTGAAAGGGAAGAAGGCATACACGAGTGTGGAATTCCACCTCGACAGTCGAAAGTTACTATGACAAGTTTGGTGTACATTTTTGAATTTTGTTTAAATGAATTTCATTTGAAGAGGATTTTATCAATTTCAACTTTGTTCAAAAATTGTATGATGTGCCAGTTTGAACCTTTGTTTTAATGTAACACAAGTGTTTAGGAGGCAAGTGTATTCACATTTTACATTTAATAATGTTTATTAATTCTACTTCATGATGTTTGTTCCAGTTTTATTGCAGAATTTACCAAAACCATCTGACCACCTAAGCAGTCTGCACCAGCATCTGGATTACTTCATCCTACGTTAAATACATGGGGAAATCGTGATTTTAGCCGTTTCATAAAAAAAAACATTCCAATAATGAGGCTTTTAGTCATTTTGTTTTACTAGTCAATATTTTTTCTGAAATGCTTTAGAAGCATTTTGGTGTACACGGTTATTACAAGATAAATATCTAAATACAGTCTTGTGTAGTTTAATTATTTAAAAACATACTACATGTATTACAAACCAGGTTATTCATTTCTATCCTTTCCGTATTTAAAAAATTGCGGATTCTGTATAAATAGTATCACAATACTACTTCACGAAAAAATAAACAAACCACTTTAGATGGTACTCAGTGTTCTCTTGTCAAAAATGAGCACTAATTTTAGGTACCTTTGGACCATGATCTTGCTCCGCAGCTACTGATAGTGTTGATGCGAGGCAATCTCGAAATGCAGATTCTGGTGTTGCTGACATATATTAGCGAATTCATTGTGGTTCTATATAGAGAATGACTAGCGACTTTAGTTTTATGTTATGACGGCTTATCGAGAACCTATTTATTCTGTTGCATTTATATAATTTAATTTGTTTTAAACCATACAATTTTAAAATTAAGGTAATATAAGTCTATAAATATATATTTTTTGTTTTATATAATATAGTTCAAAAATGTAGTAATGTAGAATGGGCATTAGGGGTGCCATGCTACTGGAAAGTGAACGAATACGTTTGACTGCAAAAAAAACACTATCTCTTTTTTAATTTTTATATATTTTTCTCTGTTCTGCTATTGGGTCTTTGACATCATATGGTACATGCGGAGGAATGAAGAAATCATCTTGGTATTTCTAGTATTACCCGACCTGTGCAAAATTCGCCAGTGGTCTTAATTAACTTGATAGGTTGTTACAATGTTTTATACGCTGGTAAAATGTGCTGGTTGTTAGTTTAATTTTGTTGAAAAATACACTCTTCAATCTCGGCATTTATTAAAAAGATCGATCTAAACGTAAATCAGAGTTAAGTACTGACGAATTAAACAAATTACAGGTTAAATTTAAAAATTAATTTCGTAATTCTTATAGAGTATAGACCAAAGAGTGACATCTTATGCGAAGTTTAATACTGATAGTGTTTTGGCTATACATAAATATATTTATTTATTAAATCATTTCTAAAATAATCTGTTTCATAACATTTTGATTATACTATATAAAATCAACATCATGTTAACATCACACAGTCTATGTAAAAAGATTTTATAGTAAGGCAATGGTGGAAAACTATAAAAGTGTTAAATTACTTAAAAGTGTACAAAATAAGCGACTAAACAAACGCGAGATGTTCAATCGTTGCCTTTTAGAAATACACACTGTAGAGTTAGCACCTTAGAATACTAAAAATAGAGTTTCACAGTCATGGATATTTAAAAAAATCGCATCAAAAAATAACTAAATTACATTAAAGATTGTGCTATGAACTCATTTGGCAAGTTAAAAAAATATATCAGGAACATACATTTGTATAACAAAGAAACAAAAAAGAATTCTACTAAAGGTTTGGTAACTGCAAGTATTGTAGCTCACCTAATAAAATGTAAGTACATAAATAGTTGTAATCAAATTAAAAGAAAACAATGGCACAAAAACATTGCTTCACTTATACTTTACAAATGGTAAAACAGGTTGTACGTAGACATAACGAAAACTGAAGAATTAAATAACTTAATTGGTCCCTTATTTATACGCATCACAGCCTGTAAAATGCAAGTTTATCTCGATTAACACTGTAAATTTCTCAGTTAAGGCCACGTTGTCGTTATCCCACAGCTGTTATAGCGTTATTCTTAGGCCTTGTATCTGTGGTTCTGAAACAAATTAAAAAAAATTATCATTTTATGGTCGACAATACGTGAGAAGCGGTGAAGTGTTGAGCCTGCATGCAACTTACCTTGTTGGAATGGTATCATAGAGATAAATTATTTTGTTAGTGCATTAGTTACAAGCGACCCTCAACCCTTACAATACCTGTATATGGAAGATGTAGATGTAGACCTTGACCAAGATACGAGAAAGCCCTCACCTCTTCTACTAGCTCGGCGATACGAAATTATAGCTCTCGTCACGTCATCGGGCGCCATCAGTGTCTGCATTACTCGGAAAACGTACCTGTAAATGATTTTTGTCGTTTTTGAGGACACTTAATTTAATTAAGTACAACTCACCTCGGCAACAATGCGACGACACAAGAGAGTAAAGTAACCAACCAATAAGTCGGTCGACTCGTCGATCTTTGTATTATCCAATATGTGCTAGGTAATCCGAAACAATTAACACATAGTGAGTTGTATAGGAACGAGTAGACATAAAATGCACCGATGGAGAAGACGATTGCACCCAGATGGATTATTGTCTAAAAACAAAATTTGCAACTTTCTGTCTTTTAAATGGGGAAACTACACGTACCCATGATCGTATTTCGATTGCTACGTGTAGTAACATGACAAACATGCAGGCAGTTGTTGCAGTGGTCCCAAATTCGAATAGGTCTATGTCTGAGTCCGCGTACGTTCCTTGACAGATGAAAAAGACGCAAAGACTTTGATAAACTGCGTCTGCCATTGTTAGCCAGAAGGAATATGTTTTGTAGACTTTCGATAGGCGACCTTGACGATACAAATAAGGTTTGTCTCGTAACAATTCTTCAGGCGCATCTTGATCATACACACCTACAACGGACAGTCAGAATATTTACGAGTGTGTTATGCAACATTTGAGGATTTAATTACGGGACCAAGGTTTCAAGAAGCACATTTTATTGTTTTTATACTACTTTGTTGCTACGTGTTAGAAAAATATTCTTATTTTAGGAATTATATTTGGAGAATGAGTGAAATTCAAGTAAATTTATTAGCTGTGCCATTGTTAATTTTGTTTTTTGTTATTTGCGCCAGTTATGCTGAGAACAACGTCACTGATAGATAAGGATGCTCGTCGATCTGTAAATTCCAGAGTTATATTCACGGAAACGGTGGTTCTAAGAAATTCACTAGCTCAATGTCGAGATGAGGTAAAATACATTTATAAAGTGATAGTTACGCATACATAAAAAATAAAATTAATATTCTAGCACAGTCAAATTCTTTATCGAATTGAGACATTCTTGATTGGACCAACTGGGGCTTGGGACGTAAAATTTGATTAGTATATAAGAATAGTGTTCTTACGATAAATATGTTGGTTTTACCACCACATTCAATTCAACAATTGTAAATGAAGATTTAAAAAAAAATATCCACTTGTGGTATTACTGAATCAGAATTCAGTAAAATCCGTAATGTAAAAAAATCATTATGTGCTTCTAAATAATTGTATCTTAATAGCTTTTCACACCTCTGAAAATTCTTATTGCGAACTATTTAGTTATTCAACAGTAAATTCTAAACACAAACATTCTTTGGTCAAGAGTTTTCAACATTTAGTAGAATTCATTTAATTTTGGCAGACATTTTCTCATATCTTCCAGTAGAACATCTTTTTATTTTATACAATTTTCGCGTTCATCTCTAAGTAAACTTTCTTTTAATACCAAATTTGGAGCTATATTCAAAGTTTTTTTTTACATTATGTCTAGGATAAACCCCAACAACACTCAATCAACTGAAAGCTTACAGTTCGAAAATGTTAGAAAATCAATTGAAATACATGAAAAAACTGATTTGTGACTTTTTAAATGTGACATTTTTTCCAGATCTCTTGAAAAACACGTGTTTCATTCATATTGTTTTCCTGTTCTTTTACAAAGATCCTTAAACTGGAGATATATATGTTCACAAAAAAATAAAAATAAATAATAATAATTTCTTAATCACTTCTATGAGTCTAAAACTTCAAATAAGAACGCCTCGAATATAAGGGCAATGAAAATATGCAGGTGTTATTAAAAATAATTCACTGTTGCCTCTGAGAATCTAACTTATATAAAAAAAAAATGTATTCATCGTATATAAAACAGTGAATCTTAAAATCTTAAAAACAATTGTGTTTATTAAAGATGTGGGGACCTGAACGTGCTCGTTGTGCTTGTATTCCGAGTTTCTGTTTTACAAAATCTAGAGATTTATTATTACAATTGAATCGAAACAACTTCGCGAAGACTCTGTCTTGGATACTTCTAAAAGTGCTCATTTACAATGGGCATAAAGCATAAGGATATCATAAGCATTAATTCATAAGAATTTATGTTTATTGCTCTATGCTTGTATTCGTTCACAATGAGCATAATGCTTAGGACATCCTTATGCTTTATGCCCATTGTGAATGAGCACTTACGCTCATTGGGAACGAATACAAGCATAGAGCACTAAACATAAATTCTTATGCATTAATGCTTATTATATCCTTATGCTTTATGCCCATTGTGCATGAGTACTTAGACTAAACTTAAAAAAAAGAACGTTTAGAATGCGAACACCGCGTTCAGGTTTTATTAAAAAAAAATGAAGTTATGTAATTTTCAGAAAAATGAGGTGAGTCGCTCTTGATTTGATCAGTAAAATAGATCAGCTCATTTATTAATTAATTCTTGTTATTCTGTATATGAAATTATGAAAACTATATAAATAAACCACAAATATGGAGTCATAATTTTTCCTTATTTTATAAAGGATGTACTCGGCAAAATTTTGAGAGGACGTCATACATTTTTTGGAAGGGAGCAAACGGTTAAATTTTGATCAATAACGATCTATCATGCTTACGATTGCAAGACTCCAGAGTTTTCTGTTGCACAGTTTGAAAGTTAAATTGCAAAATGTTCTACAATTTTGATTGTTTTTTCCAAAAATCTGGATGTTTATATTAAATAAAAACTCAACACGGATTTATAAACCGTAAGTTCAACAGTTTCTTATTTTATAAAATTGAAATATTTATCAACGTAAATTTGGGACATGACGTCACCCTATTATTGGTGGAGATGCTTGGCCAAATTTTTGCTACCATTTTACCATCTACATGATATTCCTGATATAAGTGCAAAATTTGACAACAATCGACCCAGTACTTTCGGAGAGTATTTGTCTAATAAAAATCCGGGACGGCAGACAGACAGAAACGGGAGATCTATTTCTTCGTACTGTAGGGGTCATGAAAGGTCGAGAAAACGTAAAAGTAGAGTCGGTTGACTTTAAAACATATGCAAAAGTCCAGAGCTTTCCGTTATGCAGTTTCAAAGTTAAATTGCAAAATGTTGTTCTCAATTTTTTTTTTTTTCAAAAATCTGGGTGTCTAGGTTAAAACTCAACACGGATTCATAAACCACAAGCTCAAGAATTCCTTACTTTATGAAATTTAAAAAACATTTACCAACATAAATTTGGGACATGACGTTCGTTGTCCTATCATTATTATTGGTGATGTTTAGCCAAATTTTGGTTTTACCATCTGTATGACATGCCTAATACACATCAAATTTGACAATAATCGGTCCAGCAGTTTCTGAAATTATTTATCCAATAAAAATCCGGACAGCCGGCCGACAAACATATTTTTTCGTACTCGAGGGGTTATGAATCGTCGAGAAAACATGAAAATCGGCAGTCTTCCGTGGGACTCAATTACAATACTTTCTAGTACGCTCAGGAAATAAAAAGCAATGTTAATAACTATTTGTGTGTGAAATTTTCAACTGCTTCGTTTTATTTTTTAATTTCAAAAGTTTAATGGTAGACGAAAATATGATCAACTTACCGATTGTAAGTGGTGGCAACGAGGTGAAGAGAAGGTTATACAACATCAGATACATCTGATCAATCATAACAGAACCCGAAAATCCATTATACAGTTGGAACCAAAACACTAAGAACACAAACGCTGCATTCTTATAGAAAAAATACAGCACCATCCGTGACAGTCTATCATAACTCCAATGTCCATGTACCAGCAGCAACCTCTCCAAGAATTTGAACCTCGATAGAGCAAAATCAGCCGCCATTACCGCTTGCATTCCCTCCTGGCCGGAAATTCCTATTCCCACATCGGCAGTTTGTATCATCGAGACGTCGTTCGCTCCATCGCCGATGGCGAGAGTTCGCATTTTCAGTTCCTCCTTCACTACCCTGACTATGTAGGCTTTCTGAAGTGGAGTGGCTCGGCAGCACAAAACTGAACTGCAGTGGCCCGTGAGTCGAAGGAAAGGTTTGGTCAAGTTAGAACGACGGTCTAAAATGAACGTGAGAGTTTTTCCATCTATGACTAGTGCTTTGCTGCGATTCTTTGGACCAGATCGGTTAAGCTGACGTCTGGAATTGCTAGCGGTTGGTAATACTGTTTGTATACTAGATTCGGCATTTTCGATTTCAGACAAGTAGAACTGAATCGTGCTTTCGGCTGTTTCTTTAGATCGGGTCATCAATTTGAGGAGCTCCATGTGTGGAGAAAAGAGTTTTGAAGAGTAGGCGATGTTTATGGCGGTTTCCGGTTTATCTCCGGTTAGAACCCAAACGACAATACCTGCGGACATTAGTGCGGATAGCGTCTCAGGAACTCCTTCTTGCAGTCTATCTTCGATACCGGTGGCTCCTAACAAAGTCAAGTTGCATTCGATTCGCGAGTAGTTTTCCTGAATTCTCCGGTCAAGATTATCCAACGACAAGTTAATATCTTGTTGTTTTTGACTCCAGTCGGAGTATTCCTGAGGGGTTAGAACACGTTTAGCCATCAATAGAATTCGCAAGCCGTCCTTAGAGTAGTTATTGACATGTTGTTGAGTCTTATTGACGATGGCTTTTTGTTCCGAATCGTCCTCCACGGGAGCTAAATGCGGAAAAATCGTAGAATCTGCACCTTTACAATATAACACGATTTCCCCAGTAACTGGATGTTTGACTATCACCGACATCCTCTTCCTATTTGAATCGAAAGGTAAGATATCCAAAATTTCGAAATTCAATTTTCCTTCATCAAAATAGTCGATGCAAACCGACGTAGGGGTTCGTTTCGCCAGTTTGCAAGAATAATTATAAGCAGCATCCACTAAAGCCAATTCGTCGGGGCTTTCGGCCTCAAAAATCGGTTTCAAATCGTGCGGACTAGGCGTCGACGATCTCAGTTTGGCCTTTTGCTCATCAGTCAAATTGGTGTTGCTCCCTTGCTTCTTCCCTAAAAGCGGAATATTGAGCAGTTTCGGTCTCTTCACTTCCGTCTCTAAAGAACTATCATCTAATGGCACGCTTGGAGATCTAGGTTCTAAAAAATTTAGAGGCGGCGAAGGTGTAACCGATCTGGATTCTTCGAGTCTGGTGTATTTGTCAGATGCGTCGGATTGGTCAAAAGAGCTCGGTACAGCTTCAATCAGGCCCGAAGCGTTCATGAGATCGTAATGCGGATGACGGGAACACACTACAGTGTTGCAAAGAGCTAGTAAAAGAAGAAATTCCTGAATTTTTGCGGTGTGTGCTTGTCGCGAAGTATAAATTTGTTCAGTGACAGGGCCGAGTTGATTAAGGTCACTGATTAATCGAGGGTTAACAAGAACACTCAAGGATCCGAGTTTACCGTTTTTGCCTTCGTCTTCCATTTTCGGATGGTTATAGTCGACACCGGCTATGGCACAACGACGAAAAATCATTCGGTTTTCCGTCAGAGTCCCTGTTTTATCTGAGAAAATATACTGGATTTGACCCAATTCTTCTGTGATATTGAGTGCACGACATTCGGTACGTTTGTCCATCATGCAATCGTAAAGATCAACGTTGTGGTGGATATGATAAACTTGGATAATCTTGCACATTTCAAGGGTAACGTACAATGATAAGGGAATCATTATCTACAATTGTACATAATTTAGCCACATTTCGACTTTTTTAAGAAAACTTGATACCTGTAAAATGATGATGTACGTCCAAAAGGCAAGAAACGCCTCTATGCCTTCTGAGTGGTCAGTCCTGAATGGTGATTCCAAATTATTGAAGATGTTTAACCAAAGTTTGCACCCTATGGCACCTATGAGGCACAACAGGATTAAAATAAGAACGCACCAGAGAACGTCTTGATTCATCTGGCGTTCCAAGGAAGACCTTTTGTATCGTGGTCCCCCGTTATTGAGCATAGCTTTAGTTTCATGACCTAGGAAAATTTAGTCACGTTATTAACATTTTCACGAACTTTAATTTAACTTACCCGCATAAACGACAATTCCCTCCACGTAATCAGTGTTTTTGAGAAGGCACTCCCTGAGCAATATATTTTCCGTACCAACTGGCACCCTTTCGCCGGAAGGATGAATGATGGCGCCATGAAATCTGTAAATTTTCGTTGTCGGAGCCTCGACTTCAACTCGGCTGCGAAATTTGCTAGGTTCAAATACGTCTTGCTGCAATAAAAAAGTTAGTAAAAGTGTAGAACGAAGTTGAGGATGTTTACTTTTGTTGCAAATCCTCGAGCTACTTGACGTTGTTTTAAATTAGTTTCTCCATCTAAGTGACCTGTGTCGATGTAACACAAACCGCTGGGGTCGCTTGAACGTAATAATAAAATGTCGGCAGGTACAATTTCGTTATTTGATAAATGAATCAAATCGCCCACTCGTACCTCTTTCCACAGGACCTTTTTGTATCGGGCCGCTTCACTGTAACAATAGAGAAGGATTATTACAACGGCAGGTTCCACAAAACACGTAATTATTCTGAATTACCCGTTATCTTACCTCCGAATAATAATATCTCTGCAGTGAGTATACAATAAAATCATGAATATTGTTCATTTTGACTGTTATTCTATTACACTGCTGATTTAGGGGTAATTTAGTAACCTGGGCTATTGTCAACAGTATAAATGAGGTGATACGCAGACGTAAATGTTTAATATCCACTTTAACGGAACTTATTGCCTTACAAGATATGTATAGGTATACAACAACTATATTTAATGATGAATAATAATCTTTTTATACCCGTCTATTTTATTTGCCAAGGTTGTTCCCGCTGGAATTTTCTTTATCGAAATAATATTTTTCGTTGGTAATAACGGCACAACAAATAATGCCAAGAAAATACAATAAAATAAATTTCCCTAGAAGCTGGGATATAGCAATTACTGGAAAATGAAGTCAGTGTTAGGTCCATGTGTACACTCTAGCATGCTTTGGAATACAGCTATTATAACTGTACACGATCAACTACATAGTTGAAATGATACCATTATGTTATCACCAGGATAAATTCTTTTTTTCACTTTTCTAGTTTCGCTTATTTGGGCCAGCAACGAGATTAAAATGATATGTGTCAAAAGTCAATTAATATTATGCGGGATGATATCTGTGTATCTGTTTTAGATAATTTAATTTATTCTGATAATATTGAATGACAATTCGTTTTCATTAGCGATAAGTTCAAAAATATATTACTGTTTCGATATTAAATTTCTACTTAATTAATCTTTATAATTACAGCGAAGTAGCATATAACGAGGATACAAAAATGGAAGTTATGTATATGTACATATCGTTAATAAAAACATCCATTTATTTGATAAATGTCGCAAGTTATATTGACTTTTTTTGTTTGACCAATAACTTATTTTTAACAGCTGCTGATGATCTTTTGTTTTTTGTCGTATTATTTCTACGGCAATTATTTTACCCTTGTTTTACTGTAAAAGTAACGGCACGTGAGAAACATTCTTACAAGCAGTTTTATTATTACTAATTTTAAGTAGATGTGTAGCTTTCTTATAATTTCATTGGAATATTATTTGATATGCAATTTGATGTGAATTTTTATATTTTTTTTGAGGTTTTTACTTTTAGTTATGCAACCAGTTTAACAAATAGTGTATAGTGATGGACACAAATTGTTAATTTTTTGCAGCTTAATCACAGAAATTAATTTGTTATTAAATATACAGTTTGATTTAGTATTTATGAAATCTTGGTCGTTACGTTGTGTTATATGTATTACAAACCGACGTAAGCTAACTAACAAACTTTTTACATGAAGCTTTCGAAATTTCGAAAGTTTTATTTAATAATATTTTAAGACAGCGTCATAAACTTTCTAACGGTGACTACGTTTAATTTTGATATGTACGATCGAATACTAATTTAACGTAACTGTACTCCTAGAATGTAACGAAAATTAAACTGGCCGTTTGTAAGACAATAATCGATAAAATAAAAGGGTTCAGATGGCTTTTTCTAAACAATTTGTTGGTTCTGAAAAAAGAAAAAAAATGTCACTGCAGTACAAGCAACATTCCATTTCAAGGAGTACTTATTGATCCGTTTTTGGTATGACGTCATCAGCTTTCTGGAGGGGTGAGTCCATCAATTAGTTGTGTTCAACACTGTCCCACCAAAGTTTCACGGGTTGTTACGTGCATCTGACATAAATAAAAAGTTTGACACTATTTTTGTTTTAATAATCCCTTTGCGTAAAGTAAATAAAAATACATAGAACGAAAGTAATCATTTCAACTCATATTCACTTAATAAATTTTGAGTTGTAGTTTTAACTAGAAAACTTAATTTTAAAGCACTCAATTAACACTAAAAATAACATTACTGTGTTCCTAGAATTCCACGAAAAGTAGATAACCGTTTCTGGTTATTTCGTAGCACTTTTGAGACACCGGAAGGTATTACAGATATAAAAGTGTATTTCTAAAGTGCAAACGATATCATATCTTAGGGCTACACTTTATTAAGTGTGCGTTAGCAAACTTTCGACGCTATCAATTTCATAATTCTCTGGAGAGGATAAACAAATACATTTTAGTTAATGTTTTGTAACGTATGAGTCAGTGTTAAAGCATTAACAAAATTTTCGAGAAATTGCTATCTAATCTCTGAGATAAATTACAAATTTTGACAGTCCAAATTTTTAAGGAATACTATGTTAAAGTTAATAAAGTTAAAAATGTGCGAAGTTATTCAATCCAACTTCCCCCCTTTACCCTTGTCGCGAAAGCACCACCCCGACTGTGGGCATACCGCAGACAGAGTTTTGTTAAGAAATAATGTACAATCAAGAATCACGGAGACCTACTGGTCTAGAAATATTTGTTTTAAATTGATTCTTCTTTCTTTATCAAGACAATTTCATTGTGTTCCTACAATTTACGCAGTTCCTCTGATAAACAGAAAGGTCTATCATAAACACATTTGGTAATGATTACTTAGAAGCAACAATATAATAAATTAAAACTAAAGTGGTGTTTAAGAATACACACCTGAGACAAGTTTTACCGCAATTCTTAAAAAGCTGGTGGCATTAATTTTTCTATGAACATAAATAAAAGTAATCGTTTCGCTAGTTTTCTGCCTAATAAACTTTCTCATCAACTGACAACAACAGGGAATCGGTGTTTTCGTTTTTTGTAAACTGTGAAACGCCACAAAAACGTGAAATTTACCCATTACAATAGTTCTAACTGCCGCTCCGGAAGTGTGAATACCCAAAAGTACTATCCTCCTGAATGGTAGCAGCTGCATTGTATTCCTCGAAGTCTTTAAAGTTGCATGTTCTTTACGATCATGTGTCTAGTCACGAGGTGCAGGTCGTTGAGCTGCGAAATACGTTGATGGAATTGTTGTTATTGAGTCCCTCGTGGACCGAAGACCAATTATTATTAGAGTCCGAACCAATTATTGATGCGCACGATATACTTAACGAATTAATTAATACAGTACTATGCGTAATTAAGTCATTAATTCGGACAAAGTGAAACCTTTCGCTATTCTTATTTGTTAAACTGATTCTTTGATTTCCACTTTTAAACGGGAAAGGTGGAGTTTCGTAAGCAAATATGTCACTGTGGACTAAGTATTAAATGATTGATAGTACGCAGTAGCCTGCAATTGATTTTGTGTCAATTTCCTGAAATTTACTATTGCAAGTTAAGTGAACAGGTTTGTCCCAAAAGCTGACTTTGTGAAATGATAAGTGTTTACGAGGTTAGATTTAATTGATATTTGGCATGTTCATAATGTTGTCAATACTGCTCATGATAACGCTATAACGTTTCCATTATTACAGAAAATACATAAAATTCAATAACTATGTGTAGCAGTAAGATTTTTGATGTAGATTATAGTGTTTATAGTCCAGATAAAATATTAGTGCTGAAAATTAAAAACCTTTAATATACAAAAAATTGCACAAACAAAAGTGGGTCAAATCTGGTAATATCTAACAAAAATCGATTTTACATTGTTCTCAAGTTCAAGTTCTGTGAAGTGTCTCAACATTTTGAACAAAACGTGAAAATGCTATTCTGCTCTTCAACGTTATTAATTTACAAAATTTGTTAAAAGTACCCTAAATGAGATTCATTATTTTTGCCTTGAAATCGATAAAACCCGCCATTATTTAATCACAATAACAAACTCCCTCCCCAAAGCTAATCAAATCAAATTCATCGAAGAGCTCGCTCGTAGCGTTAAATCGTCGTCCTTGATCTTGCTTATGAAAAAAATTAACCGTGTTTAGGCCTCTAATTGAACGAATCAACCTTGACCTGACATTTTTTTTAATGTCTCATATGATAGATGATAATATCTACAGCGACGGCTACAATTAAAACTAGACCTGGCCCTGATCGTCTACGAATTACATTTAAACTTATGCTTGGTGAACTTACGGTCACGCAACCCGAATGAGTTATTTACTAAATCATGATTATTGTAATGTACAGATGTTGCGGTGGTGTATTGCGGAAAATGTGAGCCGGTGGGAAAAGTTCGTGGGTCGACAATATAGTACGCTATAGGGACATCCCCTAAAGCCTAGTTACATTAGTAGACACATAGGAGGGAGCTCCTGTGAAAATTGAAATCTACGCATGTGAGGCAAAATATGTTTATTTGCCCTTTTTTTCCCATTGTTGATTGTTTGATGGCACTATAAGATGTGTATTTTATGTGCTAGTAACCTTTCAGAAACCACTCGATATAATTACTACAATACAGCCTGCAAAGTACTTACAATAATTTAAACAGTAAACATATTTTATAAATAAGTTTGAACAGGTAAGTTATTTTTCTTGGACGTTTTTGTTGAAGTCATTAACGTCTGAGCTGTCGTTTGCGTATAGAATGACAAATATTTTTACTTGCATTTTTGAATGCTTTGGAGAACTTTTCCACTATAGACAAATCATATGGTTTCCCACAATATTCACACTTTTATGTGGTCTAACGAAATATCTTGAATAAGAGAGAAAAATAGATAAATAGGACTTACCGAAGGTCGCAGTTTACATGTTCTGTAAAGCTACCCGATATCATATTGTAAAGTAAGGGAATCAACGAGACTCAAAAACATGAATAAATATCCTGCAAACGCACTGGTAACTGGGAATCATTATATTCCTCAACAAACACATATTATGACGATGTTTCTACATATTTTTGGCTTTAGTATATAGGTTTGAAATAGAAAGATAATAACGTCATAAACAAATGAATAACGTCAAAATGTATGATTAAGAAAAAATCTCTGCGAGCGTTTAATAAAGTGTTATTGAACATAGGCTACTTCTCTGCATTGCTTAAAATTTTACACACGGTCTGCGTCTCAATTATGTTTTTATAAGAATAACGGATACAGTAGGTACAAAGAATAACGATAG